CAATGTAGACCTGCATCACGATTGACATAAATCAAAAGCTGAATTTATAAAAGATTTCTGCGAACATATATTTATCAAATACATCAGTTCATCTGCACAGCTAATCAACCAGTGGTCACAATCAGAGAAAAAAGGTTATACAAAAATAAAAAATTGAAGCACATGTACCTGCTTATCATTTTCAGCAGTGAATGAGTTAAGGTTAGCAACAATAATGATAGCCAACAGGATGCAGTATGAAGATAGAGAGCTGAAAATTTCAGCCATTATGTGACCAGCAAAACTTCAGAACTATCACTATTATTTTGGATTTTGGATTAGAAGGGAAAATTATCACATTATTTTGTATTTTGGATTAGAAAGGAAAGTTCGTATAGAGATGCAAATGCATTTGTCTATCAACTTAAGCTTTTATGGAAGTGACAATTTTTTTTTTTTCATTTGTCCAATACTAAGTATCCTCAGTATTTACGAGAATATAGAAAAGGAATAACCTGTCACCGTTATGTTTAGGAAAGCTACAGGTCCGCTTTCCTATGAGGATGACGCCGTCATTTATGACTGAAATCTGCATATTGTTTCCAACTTTTGATTCTTTATTGTTAGAAAATAATAGAAATCATATGTTGAGCTCATCTAATACCTTAACCTTTTGGATGAAATGATCCTTTGATATTTATGACACTGAAGCAATCAACAAATAAGAAATTAAAAGCATATCCGGTTCCAAGTTGTCAGTGACATTCGGGATATTTCGGCTCCAAAAAAACCACTCAAATTCCATATTGGAAATCTCTCAAACATGGAGTGCCATATTTGCTTTATGGAGTAGAAAAATTGCCGAAGCACCTCCTAATTGGTGTCCAAATATCAATTTTGGAAATCGAGGAAATATATATGAAATGTACGGAGAGAAACTTATTGACCACCTTGTATGCTAAACCAAATAAACACTGCAACACAACATTAGAAGAAGAAATACGTTTTGTTTTGAGATATAATTTCATGCAGATATAGTCATATAGAACCAAATATGTTCTAATCAATTCCAGATCCCAAGTTCACCCCATTTAAAATTGTAATTGTAGCATATTGGCATAATACTAATTACATGTTCATCTAATTTAGCAAAGGCTATCCCAGGTTCCGCCCATTTAAAATTGTAGTTGTAGCATATTGCCATATTACTTGGTGTGAGTTTGTTTATGTTGTCGTGTGCACTCAAATTAAACTCCTAAGCTTCTATAACATAAATGTAGTAAGGGAGAGTAGGGATCGATCCCACGAGGAATTCAATCGTGTTAGTCGTCACAAGTCTAGAGAAACATGAAATAAATAAAAAAGGGGAGGGTTTTGATTTGATTGAGATATAACTAAAACTAAACAAATTAAATTCAGAAAATGAGTTTAGAGTAAATATTCAAGGAAACAAACCTTGGTTCGGGTAACATCCACTTTTGGAACTTGAGATTTATCCTTGGTGCACGAAATATCAGATTTCCATTCAAATATTTGTTGTGATATTGAAATCAATCTTTTCTTACGATTAGCCAACTAGAAACATGTATTCTAATCAACCCTCATTATTTAACAACCCTAGATACGATCTAAGATTTAATCAAATAATGGCTTTATGTATTAAAAAGATCAACAAAGCAAGATAACACAACACATGTAGTTGCATTTAATCTAATTGAACAAACCTCCTAAAAGTCATTAGTTTCGACGCAACAAACCATACACTCCTAGTTGCTACACAAATCAAAGGGATTGAACAATTACGGATTCAATATTCGATCTAGCTATAGATTATTTAAGCTAATAAACTAACCGTACACATTAGAAATTAACCCAAATAATCATGAAAATAAGCATAGAAGAAAGTTCAATACTTAAAATAAATAAACTGATTTACATTAATGTTTAAGCACCTCAAACTCTTTGATTTCCAAAAGCTTCGGTTACCTTCACCAAGGAGAAGAGTCTAGCCGCTCATGGCGACCACCATAGCTAGAGAGAGAGAGAGAGAATAAGGTTGCCTCCTATGAGAATAATACCTAAAAGTTCTTTTGCCCTAGTCTCGCTAGGTTTCTATTTATACAAGGTGTTTATTTTCCAAAAATGGTACATAATATTCTCTCCTCCGGTGTATGCTTGGCGTCTTTTTCGGCAAATCACGCAAGTTTTGTTTCTTTTACGCGATCCGTTGTCTATTTCTACGGATTTCAGCGTGCCCACGTCAAGTTGCAACGTGCTCGCGCCTTTGGGTCCTTGTGCTTCTATGTCTGCTGTATTAGCGTGGCCACGCTTATATTCTTGATGTGCCCACGCTTCGGTGTTTTCCAATGGCTGAATTGGTTCGATCGTAAATTCTCTTTATATGATTCTTTTAATGCTATTTTTCAATCGGTTCCACACCTAACATATAGAATACAAAAGAGACTTAAGTTTTATCATTTAGACATCTCAAAATAGTAAAATATAGGAGAATTTAGCAATTCAAACATATGTTTTAAGCATTATCATTACTAATTACATGTTCATCCAATTTAGCAAAGGCTAAAAACTTCTCTTGCATTTTGTTTCAACTCCAATGAACAAGGTCCAAGGATCCGTCTTCACCGGTCATCAGATTATAATTCTCAAGCTATTGTTAATGCTGTTTATTAACTGATTTCAATGGCTAGTTCCTATTTTTTCATCCTCCTATGACATAGCTGCTTGTCCTATTAACTATCTTCTAGAGATTCGCCATCCTGAAGTTCTTCCTCGAAAACTTATTATGCAAGACAGTGATTTATGAGACTTAAACATATGATCAATTGATGAGTAGAAATTGCTGTGTAAAAGAGTGTTAAGTAAATGATAATGGAGGCATCAAGAATTGAAAACACAAAAGTGGCAAATACCTGCCAAGAGTAGCATTCCAAAGAAAAAATAGAGAACAAAATAAAAAGACTACACAGAGATTACTGGTTGCAATTTGAGTAGATTTGATTTGCTAGTTACGGAAGGCCAATAAGAATGGAAATCAAGTTTTAACATAAACAGCTGCACTAGCAGAACGATGACTAGTCGTGAAATCCTAAAGCATCATGCTGCACTATAAGACCTCTTATCTCTAGGACTAGTAATTGGTGAAGTTAACTTCTTGAGGAAAATTCACAGGTTGATGGTCCTTTTTAAAGACTTCATTTCATTCGTTTAATTAGTCCTTTTTTTTAGGCGATTTCTGATTCTCTGGGATTTTATTTTCACAATGGCCTCTACTAGAACATTTTATATTGTACATTAACATAGGCCTGTAATTGACAAAAGATTGCTCTGAGTGTTGTTTTTGTTCTTCAGGGTTTCGTAATTATCCTAGACCAGCAAGCTGGTGCTTAGTCAAAACCAAGAGAATGCAAATGCAAAAACCAAGGCAAATAAGTAGTGTTAAAAGACAGATCAAACATCACAATGACAGAAATGTGTTTGTGTTTGAGAGAGTGTGGCGTGGAATTTGAAGTTAGTTACAATGGGGATGGTCTCCTTTTTGGAAAGAGCATCATGATATGAAAAAGCTCGTCACTTTCTCTACTTCTATTCATGGAGACCAACAGACGGGAGCTACACAACTTGGGTGGCGGCCCTCCTTTTTCTAATTCCTGGCAGAGTTGGCGGGATGGGATATGAATCAGATTGCTGGCATCATTTGTCTGTTTGTTGCCATATAGCAGATGATTGGCTGTCCACTGTACAGTGAGGTGCAAATGGACCATGGCTTAATCGTTTAGAAATAAGAGGAATAAATATACGAGAAAGTACAACAGTGTTAGAACCTATCTCAGCTTCTGGTATTTGAGGTTGACAAATTCCACTCGCCTTAGAATACACTTATGTTGGATTTTAACCAAGTTCTATCACATCTATGGTTGACAAGAGCAACATTTTGTTGGTTGCATAAAATGACAATGCCAGGCAGAACTTTGTCTTCGTGAAAGTTCGTTTCTCAGTAATCAAAGATGTGCTGTGTAAAAGGAAATTCTTCAAAAGCAGCGCAGAAATCTTACCAAGACAGTGTTCCAATAGTTGGAAGAGGCTTCCCCCGAGTTACAAACACGAGGAGATGGAACTCGAAAAAGTCACAATAAGAATTAGAAGGAAAGCCATAGAAGTCGCTCAGTTTTTTTATTTTTTTTTCTTTCTTTTCGATTAAGTATCTAATGGCGTTCGAGTTAACATCTACCATAAATTATTAATTTCTTGCAAGAGGGAAAGACCCTAATCTGGACAGGCAGTTTGGGAATTGCACCTTGTCAGAAAAAGTGATCTCCCTCATCCCCCTAATCTGTTCATATAACAGTGAGCTTTCAAGAACACATGTATACACCCAACAAATTTCAACCAACATGAATTCCATCTTTCATATAATTAGCGTAAAAAAGCAAGAACAGAAACAGATAATGGAACTTCGAGAGAAAAATGTAATGATCATGTGGGTTTATTCTCGCTTATCCTGACTAACCAGAGCAAAAGGCAACGCAAGTGAGCTGGAAAAAAAAACAATAATAATAACCACCCATAAGTACAGCCTAAAACCATCACATGGAGAACCAAGTCTCTTCTTAGCATCCCCAGCTTAATTAGTTTGAAGAAGTAAATTTATACATCACTACATTTGTATTGTTACATACTCTCAAACTGCTCTAAGTTAAATCGATGGCATTGAAATTTGACAAATGAAACACATGAAGAGGTGAATTCCAGTCCAAAGCATAAATACAGGAACTCTATGATCTTCTCAGGTAACAATGTCATCCTTAACCATCCTTGCTAGGTATAGACCTAAACAAAGGGCAATATGATCAGGTGGCAATAAAACTACACAAAGCTATGATGGACTGTATATTGATTTAACATGAAATCAAATTACAGGTGCTTCATAACGGGAAGTGATTTAAGCAGAAAGCTTACAGCATTATGATTTGTCACCCAAGAAGCAAGCAAAGAAATTCAGTTCAAGTGTGGAGATAATTGGCAGCCATCATCAGCTCCAGTGTCAGTTCAGGTTCAATTGGGAATTCAGTCTCCTTTCCACTGTTAGAAGGATAGCAATTGCTTGTCAATATGGAATAAGGGAAATAAGCAAAGTTCATAACATGCCTGTCACATTGCTTAATTACGAAAAATAATATAAATCAAAACCTTCAACAACTTGTAGAAACAAGAGAAGAAGGAAAAAAAAATGAAAAACAAAAGAATCAGTGCCAGCAAATAAATGTATATCAAAAGGAACTAAAATGGTTGACAGTAAAACCAAATCAAATATATTAATCATGCATTGACATGAGAAACAAACTGTTATCTTCACAACAACTGCATGCAATGCAAATTGCAAAAGATTCCAGGAAAACCAGCAAAAAGTTTCCACAAACATTCAGCTAGCTCAATCCCCAAGCCAGACAGGATTAAAACTTTTATGTTACACCTTTAAAAATAGGGATAAGATGCACCAGCCTGCCAAGCATGTCTTTGGCATACTTCAAAACTTCCAAGAGCACAGATTGGACATCCCATTTCATTATCAAGCAAAAAAAAAAGAAACAAAAAAAAAACAAAAGAGGCAAAATTTATATTCAAGAAATGAACAGTGCAGGCTACTCTCTATGGTGGCCATCATAGGACTTGATGTAAATGTTAGGAAGCTTGACTAGTTGAAACAGGGGGAGAATTCAGCTTGCCCACATAAGAAAAGAAAATTCTCTCAAATAGTTAGATCTCCATAATTAGGATAGAAAGAACAGCGTGATTTGAAAGAAGAACAAATAATATCCCTGGAGTGCAGAATAAGGAATACGAAAACCACCAAGAATTATACAATTTATAATGAGCACCCAATCTCCTGATTCCTGATTAAGACATCAAGAGTTCTAATGACCCTTTCACAATGAAACCAAATCACAGACATGCATTAATTCTAGAGATGATTTATCCTAACCAAACAAAATGTGAAAGATTGTATATAGTTTTTTCTTGAATATTTTGACAGATCAAAACCAGACAGGAAAAACTAAGAGAAGATGTAATATAAGTGACAAGAACAACAACTAGTGTCTGCTTCCCTAGGCCCTAGATCCTGTATACAGTGGCGTCATTAGTATGTGGAACACATTAACAAAATTTTTGTATCTGCCTATTACCCCACAACACAAATGCATGACATGTTGAATGTGCAACACTGCCTCAATATCAAAACAAGTGTGTGCGTGTATGTCATTTAATGGTTTCCCACCATTGCCACACCAAGGGAGCTGTACATTCTGATCAAGAGGAGAGGTGCATTGTTTCATTTTTTTGGTTCATTTATTAATTTAATTAGTTCATGCATTAGTCACAGTTAACTTATAATTGATCTAGTGGTTACATTAATTTGATACATGTATTAAGAGTTATTAGTGTAGAAGTGCAAGAGTTTTAAATGTACAAGGAGTCCAATAAATACATATGTAAGTGGTTGAGTGACCGGTGTGAGGTGAGTTGTAGAGAGAAACAAGTGAATTTAGAGTGTTCGATAAACGCAAGTGATGTAGAGAGTTAGGGAGAGCTCCCACAATTCACTAAACAAAATATAGGATGTGGAGTGCTTTTCATGAGAGTTGTGATTAGTGCTGTGCTGTATTCAACATCACACAGACACAGCATGCTTGGAACATAATGTTGCGAGACACTTAGCGACAGTGATGTTGCGTACAAATGTTACGCATACACACAAATAGAAATAAGCATATAGAAAGAAACAAGCAAACAAAACCAGGTGTTGAGAGATTCTGCACAATACTACAAATTAATATGATGTCAGCTCTGCTAGCGCTAATTGATCAAAAAGGCACAAGGAAAACAATCATGTACAATACAAAAACAAGATGAGGTTTTCATCCGCTCAAAACCACAATAAAATTTTCGAAGGAAAGAAATGTACATCAGAAGTTTGTAACCAAAAAGAAACTTAATACACATCAATGACTAACAGGAATTATATAACTAAAATTACAAATTCAATATTCCAATTCAAATCAGATTCATTTTGATTAGTTACAATACATAGATACGCTGCAAAGCTGGATATTATGCAAACATGCAACATAAACAAAAGTAGAAGGAAAAGAACGGAACTTGGCATACTGAAGAGACCAGTAAAAGTACTGGCAGATCTTCTCTAAAATGGTAGTGCTTATCTCCGGAAAAGTCACTTCTCCATGCTCCGTCTCGGCGAAACTCCCTGCCACAATTTTTTTTTTCCATTTAGAGAAAAAAAACCTCAGTTAGATGAGAACTATCCATTAACAAATATAATTAAGTTTCCGCAATAGTTCAGAAAAGAAGAAAAAAAGCCATTTAATGCAAAGGGAAATTAATAAAACGGAAAGTAATTAATACGATGTCAATTGCAACGAGAGAGGGAAAAGTAACCCATTGAAACATAAGAGCAGAGAGAGCCAATAAAATTAAAATTAAAAAAAAAAAAAGGAGAGAGAAGAAATTGAGAAATAAGAAGGTAACGAGAAAGATTTGAAAAAAAAAAAAAAAAAGGAGTGAAATAGAATAAGGGTGGAAGAGGGACCTGGAGAAGTGAGCATGTTGCGGATTGTTTGTGAAACCATAGCAGCTTCCTTGTGGATCACGAACTCGAAACCCTCCGCGCTGATCAGCTTCACTGTGTCTTCCTTTCTCATTTTCTATTTTATCTTACAGACTTGGATTCAAAAAACAAAAAAGAACTTTTTTTCCTTTCTTTTCTTTCTCTTTAGCTGTGTCAAAATGTGGCTCCAAATCCAAACTCATGCGTTGTTTATGGGAGTGCGTTTCAAGAGTCCAGCCAGCATCCGTGGGCCTTGGGTCTGGATTTGTTGAATAAAAAGGCCCAGAAAGAAAATTTAATTTCTCATAATTAAATTCTTTTAGACAAAAATACCATTCAACATAAAAAGTCTTAAAATTTAAATTTAAAAAAAATTCCCTCAAATTAAATTCTTGGTAGTACTTTCCAATGAAAGCCTAAATCAATTAGCGTGTATATTTTAAAATAAAACAATAAATCCATAAATACTAATTATGCTATACATGAGTGCAGAAAATGGTGAGTATTTGTTATAAATTGGAATCAATTAGGTATTAATTTTAAACACTTTTTTTTCTTTATTTTGTTATATTCTAAATCTCTTTTTTTATTTTTTTTTCAGTTCATATTTATAATTTTATTTAGTAACTACGCTATAAAGCAACTAAAAATTTCGAAAATTTATTGTAAAGGTTACTAGCCCACTCAATTCACGTGCTTTTAAAATAATTTTTTTTTATTTTTTGGGTACGAACTAATGTCAGCTTTAAGCTCAAAGCAGCTTTGGGATTGTGTTCCCAGATCCAGATTGCTAGGGATTTAATTTATAATTTGGGAAGCTGGCTTTGAGGGTCCTGTCAGAATTATTTTAAGAAAGTTTTCCGTTCTACCAAACGAACCCACTCCTCACGTGCCTTTCATTACTTTTTCTTCTTCCTCGTTTACGTGACTATCACAGGGGAGGAAAAAAAAAATTTATAATTTATAATAAGTAATTAGTAACATGTACAATAATTATTTCTTAGATCCACTTTGAAGAGAGATATATAAACATTAAAAAAAATATATATATCTATATCTATCAAAAGTGATAAGAAGATTTTAACGTCTGTTCAAATTTTTTATTTTCTCTCTCCTATTTTTTTTTTTTTTGTATTTATCTCTCTCCTCAAAGTAAATTTAAAGAATAATTATTGTATATGTCACTAGTTACGTAAAGATTTCATTAATCACAGACATATTTTAAAGTTTCCAGCTACCCTAAGGTTGAAATTTGAGAACTACTTGGGATGGTAAAGCAACTCTGTAAGTTATGAGGCACTGAGATTCGCAAAAAGAAAAAACTATTCATAGGGAGGCACGTGCTAGTAACTTTTTCTTGGAAGTTGAAGTTAAAAAGGAGCAGGCAACTCATAAATCAATAGAAGGAAAGAAAGAAAAAGAGAGAGAAAATTATCTTGGGGTGCTCTCTTATCTCTTTTCAAGCGTTGCATTTTAACCTCTAGCGAGCCTTCCTCTCTCTGCGCAGTTTGCACCATGGACAACCTTGCTCGTGATGCATCATCGTTGACTGTGCCTCTCATTGTTGACGAGGAGAAACAAAGGCTAGGATGCAAACTTGAAAATGTGGAGACAAATTACAGTGATCCAACTACAGGCACCACATCTTCCTTCAAGACTGTTGTCCACGGACTAAATGCTTTGTCAGGTTTCACTCTGCAATAAATTTGCCGCTTGTGCTGTAGCCTTCAAACTCCTCATTCTATACTTTCGTTTGTTTCGCTAGAGCCAAAACTACTCAAGCAAGTAGTGTGGTTCTAGTAAGAGAATCTAGAAAACTAATTTTCTCTGTGTTTAACTTTTCAGGGGTAGGAATCCTTTCCATGCCATATGCACTAATGTCTGGAGGATGGTTGACCTTGATCCTCCTCTTTGTTGTCTCCATGGCAGCCTTTTATTCGGGCTTACTGATCCAAAGATGTATGGATGTGGATCCAAATATCAGAACTTATCCTGACATAGGTGAGCGGGCTTTTGGGAACAAGGGAAGACTTCTGGTATCAGTTGTCATGTATATGGAACTTTACTTGGTTGCAGCAGGATTCCTGATTCTTGAAGGAGATAATTTACAATATCTATTTCCTAACATGGGGCTTGAAGTGGCAGGGTTTAAATTAGGTGCAAGACAAAGCTTTGTGATAATTGTGGCCCTTATTATTTTGCCTACGGTTTGGTTGGATAACATAAGCGTTCTTTCTTATATCTCGGCCAGTGGGGTTTTAGCTTCTGCTATCATTCTAGTCTCAATTTTTTGGACTGGTGCAATCGATGGAATTGGGTTTAATGAAAAGGGAACTTTGATAAATTGGCAAGGAATCCCTACTGCAGTAAGCTTGTATGCTTTCTGTTACTGTGCTCATCCAGTCTTCCCTACCCTGTACACTTCTATGAAAAAACCGCATCAGTTCTCTAACGTAAGTAACCATCATGAGCGAATTTTCTAATATTCTACTTCCTCAGAGAAATTAACTGAATCTGTTCATGATATCTCTGCTTACATGACTTAAGATACATTGAAGTTAAAGTCCAGTACTTTTTATTTGAATGGTTCAAAAAGTGCTTCGATGTTTGATGTTACTGAATTACTTGACTTCATTAATTTGCAGGTTCTAATTCTGTGCTTTACTCTATGTACCTTGTGCTACGCATCAATGGCAGTTCTGGGTTACTTAATGTTCGGATCAAAGGTTCAGTCTCAAATAACCTTAAGCCTTCCAACTGCTAAGTTTAGCTCCAGACTGGCAATATACACCACACTGGTCAATCCAATAGCCAAATACGCGCTGATGGTTACTCCAATCGTGAATGTTACGAAAAGTTGGTTTCCACTGAACTGCAATAAAAGGCCATTTAGCCTCTTCATCAGTACTGCTTTTGTGATCAGCAATGTCACTGTAGCCATCGCTCTCCCTTTCTTTGGCGATCTTATGTCGCTGGTCGGAGCCTTCTTAAGTACGACAGCTTCTATCGTACTTCCATGTTTATGCTACATGAAGATTTCAGGAACTTATCGAAGATTCGGGTTTGAAATGGTGGTATTGGTGAGTGTAGTGCTACTGGGTATTGCAGTTTTTATATTTGGTACTTACACCTCTCTCCTGCAGATAATTGGGCACCTGTAATCACTAGATACAGCTAAGCATGTTTCTCCTGGGTAGTGAAAGCAAATATTGCTATTCTGATATTGTTTGAAATTCTCAGTTACTCAAGTTTGATGTTCCTACGAGTTTATAATTTTGTTGTGAGGATGGAATAATGCTGCGAACTTTAACAAATGTATCGCTATTAGGGATGTACAATAAGTGAATTCATTATCTGCCCTTCTAATTATACCAATTGCTACTTGCGTAACACTGAAAATACACATGTTTGTTATTGTTATTTTCAAAAGATATACTTTCCAATTGAGAAAAAATTTGGCAACGATCAAATTTGGGGTACAAAGCTATTTAATAAGACATGCGTCTTTAACACTATTATTTAATCTATGAACGTCGACAGCGTGAACAGGCTGCTAACCTTCTTCTTTGTACTTGTTTGGTTGGCCTTGACTGGAAACCTTTTTTTTTTTTTTAATTTCCACATCAACTAAACAACAAAAATATTTGGTAAAAAGGAGCCCCGGCAACTTGGATTTTAGGACTTGGAGACAACTCGCTGACCTATCCATTTTGCAACCACTGTTTTCATTGAAGGCATTCAAGAGCCTTGTCTTGGGTTTTTTGTATTTGTTGATTGGATAATGACTTCTTCATTCAAGCAAAAAAAAAAAAGAAGGAACCAATGGGAGAGACAAGCTAACTAATCCTTTGTACTAGTAGGATTTTAATACATTTCTAGTGTTTCAATTTGTCTGTCTTTTGGACAGCCCGGCTTATTTTCTTTACGTCTATCGGAATGATCACTACTCTTCCAAGCTAAAACAAATATCTTGACTTACACTCACCACAAAAATATTATCTTAAATTGGTTGACTAAAGTTTATACAATGAATTTTATGATAAAGCAAAGGCAAAGAATTTATTGGTAAAAAGCTTTAAAAGGTGTTCGACAACTCTTCAACTTGAGATTATTTTTTGCAACCTATTTTCACTAACAAAATCTAACAGGACAATGGGAAACATATGAGTTTCAAATCTTCTCTCTTCTAAGAGATAAAGTGTATAAAATGAATTTGATGATATTAAAAACCAAAGTTTCTATGGTGAAAAGCTTAACAAGGTGTTCAACAAATCTTCGACTTCAGATTGTTTTTTACAACCTTTTTTTCACCTAAAGCTATTAGGAAACCATGACAAATATAACCAAGTTTTCCAACCTTCCCTCAAGTGAAAGGGCAGTTAAACTGGAAACCATATTGCCAAAATCAAAACCTTAGCACTTAACAAGTGAAAGGGAAATGTATGGAAACTAATAAATAGTACTGAAATATATTATGATGAATGAAAATTTCACATGGAAGTGCCATTGAAGGTCCCAAAATCCTCCAATCAAATAAATGACATTACAAATGTCACATGGTAACTTCTCAACAATCACAAAAAAATAAAAAAATAGAAATATGTTTGTATGTGTGGAGTCGCCACTCGGTTTTCATTTTAGTTTTCAAAAAATAAAAACTAAAAAAACCTAGCAATAGTCCAATTTCTAAATAAGGAGGTTAATTGCATAACTGAAAAAGACTATAATCACCCTAATGTGCCCTTAATATGAGGTTACCTTGGTTTTTTAGCTTAGGAGAATTCATTCATGTAGATTACATTTTCTATTTTGATTTACATGTTCGATTATTTAGGCATTTTCTAATCAAGTTCTAAGAGAGGTGATTTGAAGATTGAACAAGAACTCAAGTCTCTCACCTAATAAGTCATTAGGTACATTGGAGCCCATTTGGAAAGGTAAAAATTAAAGCTAAAAGTCCATTGCATACTAAATCATAATCCCACATACTCAAATTCACCTGTCAAACCATAAAAAATAAAAATAAAATACAATTACAAGTCCATAATAACTCAAAAAATAGACATAGGCCTCAAGCCCATATCACCTTATCAT